AATCATTCTTACTTTATTTTTATTAATTTAATATCAATCACATTAACAACTTTTTATTGATTTGTGTGTCACTACCTCTTATCTCATTGTTAGTGGGACGGGGAGTATTACTTTAACTTTTGAATTCTTATTTTCATAAAATCTCAAAAGCATACTGAGATACATATTAAGCACTTAATGATTTCTTTGAATATTAAGCACTAATTTGGAAATTGGTCTGTTTTAAAAAAACAAAATACAATAGTTACAATTTGAAATGGAATAAAATTAGACTAACTGGAATAAAATAAAACAGCAAAACGAAGGAAAGAAAAGAACACGATGGAAATCAAGCTGCAGTTCATTAGTTGCAATGATTTAGAAGATCGATAGATAGAAAACAGAATGGAATAATAGGGAAAAGGCAAAATACGTAGTAAAAAAGAATAGTGCAGCGATGGAAGAAAATAAGGAGAGAAGGAGAGGAGGAGGAAGGGAGAAGAGACACGTTATTGCTGCTATGCCACCTGCAACCCGGCAGAATTCACCGCTCTGGTTCAATCCGCCGGGTAGAGTTTGCCGACCACTCAGGTTCATCTCCTGTGAGTTTTCATAATCATACTCTTTGACGGGTTGTATCCACGGAAAGACACAAGCACAAAGATTAAGAGTAAATCGGGTACACAAGGAAAAATATAGTCCTATTTAGGAGTTAAAATCTTTTAACTCCCATTTAGGTATATACAGCTAGTTTTACTCCTATTTTTAACCATTTCCTATCATAAAAAGTGCATCGGAAGCTAAGGTATTCAATAAATATAAAAAATCTAAGGTAATCGATATACCACATATTAAATTAATCCCAGTTTATTTTGATCAATTTATATTATATATTTTAACCATTTGCTATGCTCCATCTATTAATCTAAGTAAAAGTCGTTAACGGTTTATTAAAAAAAAAAAGGTATACCAACTTCTTACCCGGAAAAACATTTAGCATTAAATTTTTAAAAATTGCTTTGGGATCCAGGTAAACTCATATTGTTCTAGATGATTAGATAACTCTAAGGTTACGTGCAATCTAGAACTCTAGAAGTCTTATCTTCAGACACAAATAACTCCATTATGATGAGGCGGCCTAATTCGGTAATTGTAAGATTCGATGTCTCCTTAGAAGAGTCTCATTTTCAATACAAAAGATAGGAACAAAATAAAATAAAGTAAGATAAAAGAAATGAAATTTAGAGGGAATAAGAAGACAAGACCATGTGTTATAAGAAGACCAGACCATGTGTTATAAAAGGGCATGGCTTATATAAGAATGATCAAAAGCTCTCGATGACGCTATTCAGGAGTTGGAAAACCATGTCAAACCATGTTAGGTAAGAATTGTCAAATTGGTCAGCGCATACAAACAAGCACATAAAAAGAGAAAATGAAACACAAATGTATAATAATACTGCTTAAACTTAGAATATTTACATTTTAAGTGAGAGAGGCACATGAAGAAGTGGTGAGATCAACTATCGGGATATTAAATGCCATAAATGGGACCTTATTTGTAATAAATATGAGGCAACTTTGAATGGTTTACATTTACAAAAACTCTTCACCTAAAATAGTAACTAAAAACTTGATAACACTTAGTCCTCACATACATATGGATGATAAATATGCATGGAAAAAATTGGTTTTATTTTATTAGTTCCATATAAACTAATAAATAGTTTCTATTCATAAATAGTCTAGTATCAGGAAGATTTTGTTTCTTTATTTTTGTTCCTTCCTAGTCATTCAACAAGCTGTTGGAGAGACCCAAGCGCGGTGCACAAATTTCAACAACCCTAAGTTCCTCCCTAAGTTATTCTTCCTTGATCATATCCTCCATTCATACAAAGTGCGTTGCAATTCAGAACAATTTAACAATTTCACTCTTATGACAGAGAGTAGGTGGATGTCCCGAAATATGCATTCTTGTCTGTGTGCAAATGAAGTTCTCTCTATTGATAACTAACAAAAAACAGTGAGGCATTCTTAAATTATAAAACACCCATCAAATATAATCACAAATTAAAACAGATCAAAAAAATCATTATATCATTGTGAAAACAAAAGTAATCACAAGCAAAGACAACACATGAAAGAATCAGTTAGAAACTGAATTTACTTTGATTTCTATCATGCATCAACTCTCTGCCACAGAATGAAGGAAAAATAAAAGGGTTGCAACTTTGGAAATCAAATTCACAGATTAAAAATAATTCATATATAAAAACCGACTTGCTATTCATTAGAACGTTCAAAATGATGTTGATTAACGCTTCATAAGCTATATATGTAAGCTGTATGTAAAAATTCAAGCAAAACGAAGGGAATGAAGGGGAAAAAATGAGAAACCTGTAAAAAATAACATACGGAGTAACAAAGAAGAGGTCCAATTCGTCCCTAACCAGAATAGAAGAGGCGTTGTTTTGTGGGAACACCAACGACAGCCCCCGAACTCTTGAGGTTTGCAACCAGTAGTGTCTCTTTCCGGATCACTCCCACCAGGCAGCATGATCCATTTGCAGCAATCAATGGTGTGCTCTCAAATGGCCTTCTAGCCAATGATATAAATCCTTCTTATGTTTCTGTTTCGGAGAACACATCTTAAGAACTTCATATCGTTCCTTCTCCTCTCACAATCTCTGCCACACACACAAACCTTCCCCCAAATAATCCTAAATGATTGATTGTGAAATTAACTCAGAATAGTTTACTTCTCAACAAAGAAAACCTATAAATTAGTAAATTAATGAAATAGAACATTAATGGATACGTTGTTGAGAAGGTGATTGCAAATGAAGTTTGAGGCGTCACCACCGCCATGGCCGACGAAGGTGGGTTCCGGTCTGATGTCATGCTGATTGAATCGATGGGCAGAGGATGCAGGCCAGGGAAACATTTTTTTTGCATACATATGGAGAGCATCGGTCGGATGTGGTCGTTAACTGTACCGACGTTAGATACGTTAGAGAAGACGGAGATAGAATGGTTAGTGAAAACAGGTACAATCGATTGTGAGTAATGTACAACTCATTAAAGCATAACATTACACCAACACTTTTTTAACTGCCCAAAAAATCCTTACCTTCATTGGCTTTTATAAGTTTTTAGATATATATTATACGGGGTGGTCGACAATGGCCTTTTGTTTGGAATTCATGGCTCGATCGTTGGTGTTGCTGCTGCTCTGCATTTGTTGACCAGAAGGAAAGGATGGTTTTCATCCACGTACTTTACTTAATTATTTGGAGACCATTTCAAATTCTCAATTGCTTATCATAATCACTTATTTTGAATTTGAGTTAGGTCTTTTTTTTAAAAAAAATGGACCGGTTCGGATGCCTGAATCCTTGCATTATTATGAGTCTGGTTCCAATAAAAAGTGGTAGATATTGAACTCATAAAATAAAAATAAAATAAGAACAATTTAGAACCACATAAATTTTATCAAATTTGGTATTAACCAATGTTAATGAGGCCGACTGAAAAGAAAATGTAAGACAATCTTAACAAAACGAATGGAGTAATATATTTATGAGCTCGACTATTGACGTTGAAGCTTGGAGGGTTGATTACATTGAGAGAGTTTCTTTGGAATTCGCCAGAATTAGGCCGGAATAAGTGAATAACGCTGGCGACCACTAAGTTCAGTGACTGATCGAGAGGATTATTGTTTCGAGGTGACTGACGTGGCGGATTTGCTATTGTGTATTTTGGGCTATAGCCATGTAGTGAACTGTTTTTGTTGTTGTTGTTGTTGGTCCAGCTCAAGTTTGACAAAGAATTCATATGAATCGATTTTGTACACCGACCTCTAAAGGTAGTAAAGACTAAAGAGCCGAGCCTTCTGAGGTAACGTGCCCCCTACAAGATCACGAAGCTGGTTTCGCCATTGGAAGAAGCTGGTTCCGCCACTGGAAGTACTCTGCCATACGAAATTAAACTAACAAACTACATACGTATCCTTCTGTGGCAGCAAAGGAGAAGACATTGACAGAGTCGTCTCCAGCACCAATGCCCCATACATCACCGGAGCAGCAAGTACGAAGTCTGGAGTTCGTCGCCGGACTGTTTTCAATGTTTCACGCTGGAACCGCAGAAGGAGACTCACACTAATCTAGTAATCTGTGACGCTGAAAGGAGAGGAGAAAGGGGGATCCCCCCCGGACTACAGAGCTTCCGGATATGGGCTGTCTTTACGCCAGAAAACTGTGGAGGACACCCGGACTGCTCTCTGAAAAGAGGGAATCGTCGGACTGCATCACCGTACTCTCCTGACTCCAAACAGCCTAATATTTACGAACGAGAGGAAAGTAAAACTCTGCGGTCTACCTTTTCTCGCCGACAAAACTTGAAGACGACAAGCCCGGTTGTTAAGACTCGGGGTTCCATCCTAAAAGGTCAACCTGATAGGAGGAGTAGCCCGAAGCTTAATATAGCACTCTAGTGCTTCTAAATTTTCCGGTGTGGGACATTTAACACCCCTCCTCACGACCAGACACTTCGTCTGGATCGTGTCGTCATTCATTTTTTTCATCGGTTCGTCATTTTTTTTCGTCGTGTCGTCATTTTTTCATAAGGGGCCCCACACCATGGATCGATTTGGCTCTGATACAATGTTAAGACTCGGGGTTCCATCCTAAAAGGTCAACCTGATAGGAGGAGTAGCCCGAAGCTTAATATAGCACTCTAGTGCTTCTAAATTTTCCAGTGTGGGACATTTAACACCGGTCATACGCTGGACTGACGGAACTCACAAACACTGGAGGAGAAGTGAACCAGATTGTAACATGATCGAAGTTGCTGCTTTTTTCAGGTATGCCTGCAGCCCGCCATTGAAAATGATGAAGAAAGCTAGAAGAAAAGTTACATAAATGGGTACTAGCGATTGTTTTTTAATTATGCTACGTATGAGTAATTCCTTAGATCCACGACCTCATTGGAGCGGTTCCTTTATTTTAAATGTCTATATATCTACCTCACCTGCATAGGCCCTTTATTCAAGTTACATGTCCATTTTTTAGGAGATACAATTCACTTCCTCATTAAAGATGCTCTTTACTCAAGTGACATGTCCATTTTCAACTGTCAAGATCAATTGATTGAACAAATTGATTTTTGAAAAGCCCAAAAGCTTTCACCATTTGAGATTGGTGTGAACCATTAAGCTTGTAGTAATTGAACATAGAAGACCAAGTTTATTAAACATTTTTTAAGGAAGTTTCCTTTTCATTTGAGATTGGGTCGAGTGCCACTGCCCCAAAGCCATTCACTTGAATCACACTGCATCCAGCAGCAGCAACAATCTTCTTGTTGGCAGCACCTCTCCTCCTAACCTTCACCAAGTCATCCCAACGCTCTCTATCCGCGTACACACTCGCCATTACCGAGGAAGCCCCTCCATCTTTTGGTTCAATCTCCGCTATCCGCCTGGCTGCCTTCTCCGCAAGTTCAAGGTTCCCATGCGTCCGACACCCTCCCAGCAGACCGCCCCAAACAAACACGTCACCCTTCATCGGCATCATCTCTATCATCTCAACGGCTTCTTTGATCAAACCCGCACGCCCAAACAAGTCCGCCATGCAACCGTAGTGTTTCAACTCTCGTGGGACCCCATACACGCTCTCCATCTCTCCGAAAAGAATCCTTGCTACGTCAACCAGGCCCGTATGGCTGCACCCGACCAACATGCCAAGAAAGGTCACCCCGTCCGGTGGGGTGCCCGAGTCCATCATCCGTGAAAAGTGATCCAACAACAACTTTCCATCACCGTGAATGGCTAACCCAAAGAGCATGGCATTCCATGTAAATATATTCTTCTCACAACATGTCTGGAAAATATCCATAGCCGTCTCAATGGAGCCGCATTTGGCATACATGTCGACCAGGCCAGTAGCTAAGTAGGCATCACCTATGGAAACCCCATTTGTTTGCCTAATGTGATCGTGCACGGCCTTTCCTTTCTCTAGATTCCCTAGTTGTGAGCAAGCGGACAGCACCGAAACCAACGATGTATTACAAGGTTGAACATCAGAGACTAACATTTCATCGAACAGACTAATGGCTTCCCTGCAATGGCCCGTTCTAGCATACCCTGCGATAAGGGCACCCCAGGAAAACGAGTCTCTCACACTCATTTTATCGAATACTTCCCTCCCCTTAACTATCTCGCCAGCTTTTACAAACCCGTCAATCATCACGTTGTACGACACTACATCCCTGCGAGAACTCCCATCAAACACCTTGCATGCACTATCCACCCCGCCGCTTAAGGAATAAGCGTGAACAAGATTATTGACCACATACACATCCACCAAGAACCCGAGTCTCAGAGCTTGACAATGGAGGCCCCTCGAGAGGAAAATCGAACGAAACAGAGCACAAGCCTTGAGCACGAAAGGGAAAGTGTGCGAGTCAGGGGCGACGCCGGATCTCTGCATTTCAATGAAGAAAGTGATGGCAGTATGGGGGGAAGAAAGAAGGGTGTGGGATCGAATGACGGCGTTGTAACAGAAGGAAGATGGCTTGCGGATGAGACCGAAAATGGCGGTGGCAAAGTGAAGATGAGCAAAAACAGCAGGGGTGGAAAGGGGACGTAAGAAGGAAGTGAAGGAATGGAGGAGTTGAGGAAGGAGAGGAGTTTCGTTGTGAGGACAGAGGCAACCTCTGGTGACGGCTTGAGCTTGGAGTTGGTGGATGTGAGCTACGGTTTTGCATTTTAGCTTGAGGATGGCGATCAGACGCCATGATTGCCTGCAGATGGTTAATCGTCTATTGCAATTATGGCGATGGTGATGCAGAGTCGCCATTTTTCTTGTCCATTTTGTGAGGACTTGGGAGTGCATACAAATAACTCCAGAAAATTACCGACTAAGATTGTTTGATTTTGCTTTTGGTGCGGTCCCAGTCAGATTAAGATTATCTTTTACATCCTCCGTTCTTTTTTAGTTGCAACCTTCCCTATTTCATGTTTGTCAATATACAACTTTGACCGTCATTATATTTAATTCTCTATTAGTATTTTTTGTTTAAATCACATTATGAAACTTCGACGAATCCAACAATACTTTTAAAAAATAATGATTCATGTAGTCAAAGTAGAGTACATGAATAGTGTGTAAATTCTAATGTTGCAACTATTATGATACGGAGGATAGTACTAGTTTGTCTCGGTAAAATAATGTTTCTTATGAAAAAATATGAATGAAAATATATAGAAAAAATAGTAGGGATACTAAATCGTATGCGTACTCATGACTTTTTTCACAGCCTTTCTCTAAGGGTTTGCTTTATTATTAATATAGATGGGGTGTGTAATATGGTTTGGTTTAACCAAAAATTGGTAGCTTGGTTCGGTTTGGATTTACTTAAGTAAACATTTTGATAAGAATGTGTTCTAACCGAATTGTTTGGTTTGGTTTATAACCGAAAAATCATAAATCGAACCGAACATCGAACAACTTATAATACACACACATACACACACTTTGTATTTATCTTCACATGATTTGTTTGAATAAATTTGTGAATACTACAACATTTGTACCACCAACTGCTTTAGTTTTTTTTTTTTGAATATTTTATGTGATACTCTGTATTATAAATGTTAATCAACTATAATCTTATTTTTTGTGAGAAGTGAATCTATTTCTAGTGATCGAAAAGATGTTAGATGTTAGAAGTTTATTTCCTTTTACATTTTATTATTTAAATAATCAATAAAAGAAGATGAGATAGACTATTACTTTCATTTTCTAATTCTAAAATATAAAAACTTGATCAAATAAAATTATACTCCGTAATAAACATAAGAAAACGAATCAAATCGAACTAAATTAAACCTAATACTTTTCACTTTGGTAAACCAAAACACAAATGGTTTTAGTTTGGTACAAATTCTCCCAACCCGAATAAACCGAAACCGAACTGAAACCGAAAAAAAACGAACCGTAAACCTGTTTGTCCGCCCCTAATCTTATACATTAAGAGTCCGTTTGGTATTACTGTTTTTCGGCTTATCAGCCAACTTTTTCATCAAACATGTAACTTTTGTTTTCGCGCGCTGAATTGTGTAATAATAAAAAAAGTAAGGTTGAAGTTACTTTTCTAGCCATAAGTTACTGTAGATTACCATTTTAGCTATTTTTACCAATAATTTTTTCTTTGCTTTATTAATAAAATGTATTTTAAATCAGCTATTTTTACAAAAAAAAATTACATATAATTTTTTCAAATCAGCAGAATCAACCAATGCAGCCACTTCAGCCAGAACTTCATAAATTTTAGCCGAATCAGCCGATTTTTGTGTTACCAAATGGGCTCTAAATTTGACAAAATTTGTGTGATTCCAAATCATTTTAATTTCATTTTCACTTTTCTTAATAACCGTGACGCGTCCTCATGTCCCATGTTAGTGGGACGGAGGTAGTAACAATTATGCACATGCAAATAGGAGTTAAATTTTTTCTTTATGGGGGGGGATCGCACATTTCGTCCCCCAATTATCCACCATATTGAAATCTCAGACCCGTGTTTTAGGTTTTTTAAATGTCACCCGCGAGTTGTTAGAATAATTATAAATGTCATCCATGCCGTTATAAATATTACAAACTCCGTCTATCTTTCATTTTTTTCAGGGTTAAACTTGTCATTTCCCATCATTTGACGTTAAAAGCCCTAATTAGAGTTACCCCCAACCCTTTATCACGTTCATCCTTCAAAAATTCAAATGCTAAGCTTAATTCTCTGGTCTGAATTTTTTCCGTCAAGTTTCTGCTGCACATGGCGTTCGAATAATGAAGGTATATTGTTGTAACCAAGCATCTTTGAATACCAATTGAACAAGCAGGGCAATTTTTCTTGTTAGGGCATTCATTAAGGAAATGTGTTGAGCTCCTGCAACTATGGCATACACCATAATTAGTCAATATATTTGTCCTGCAAAATTAATCAAACTACAAAGATCATATATATACCACCCACTCAACCCTAGACATTCAGTTTGTTTTTTTAATAAACAAAAGAACAAAATATAAGGAGGATGAGGAGGAGGGGAGGGGGGGGGGGAGGGGGAGGAGGAGGAATATATATGCAAATTACAAAATCTTGTTTTCATTTCTAAACTAAGACAAACATTACATACTCCCAATGTTGTGCATACTATACATACACGCTACACTTCCTTATTGAGATACACCAAACAAACATTGGTTTGTCAATGAAGAAAACACTTCCTTAATATTACCAATGAATCAAACACAAACGACTTCCTCAAACTTTTGGTTTGCTTCACATGATTGTGAACTATATGTTGAGAAATTCAGTCCCAATTGAATATCTAATCCCACTAAACATGATAAAATTCATAGAATCAATCAATAAAAACACTAACCGGTTGAGGAGAAACCGAGTATGATGGTGCCGTTGAAGATGACGAAGCCATGACGTTAAGATTCTCTAAGGATTCAAACCCCTTGAGATGGATTGATCGATTCTCATTTGAGTCTCTATATAATGGTGTTCTTGAGACCCTAAGGAAGAGGCATGTCTCTTCTTTTGTCGTAAGAATAAGAACCGAACGGGTGTATATGTTTATATCAAAGAGAAACCCTTTTGGTCCCTTATGTATTATTTAATGTTAAAACATACCCGTCATATGTTAACTATACATAAATATAGGGACCAAATCTGTCATATGGCAAACTTAATGGTAAGACATAAATGTCCCCAATATTTATTAAATTATATAAATGGTCCAAGGGCACTTAAATGGAATATTTTCCAACACTATATGCCTAACACATTTTACCTCTCTTTGAACTACCCTTAAATATTTACCAAGTGCAGCAACCATTTTTTTTGTTCATCTCGGTTTTTATTCATTTGCTCACCATCAAACCTTTTCTCTTCCGAGTCCATAACATCCTTCCATATAAAATAGGAAGCGTATATAGTACCACCGGTTGTACGGTGCTCACCGTACAGCCGGTGGCATTTTTGTAATTTATGTAAAATTCGCGTTTCGTACTAAATGAGTATTAAACCACGCCTAGTGAGCAAGTGACATATTTTGTTGAGCATTAGAAGCATAACATTGAGCATCGTGATATCTGCTTCATCTCTTCAAATTTACTTTCTTTTCCTTATTTTTTTCTTTATAAAAACTTATTAAATTATATCTATAATCAACTCTTATGAACTTCAGTATACAAGTTTAATGCAATATGATACTTTTGAGATATGCATTGTTATGTCATTTTACAAATGAGCATAACATTAATACCCGTTGAGCTTAATAACTTAAAAAATGAGAATTGATATGAAAATCATAAGTACTTTTAAGTTGAACATCAAGACATTTTTATTGAGCATCAACTTGAAATTATAAGCATCACTCGTTTTCATTATGTGATTGTGATGAGCATCGAGTTTGTTCTTTTGAGTATTCAGGGTCTAACAATGAGCACCAGTGATTTCTTCTTCATATGAAATGTGAAACATTTTTCAATGAGCATAAAACAAAATCAAATGAGCATATGTAACTTACAAAGTGAATATCCAAAAATTCAAAATCTCGTTTGTGTGCTCATTCATTTTCGGTTTTATACACATCTAACCATGGATACATTTTAACTGAGTATCAAACTTCTTCTATTGAGTATTAAAATCATGCGGTTGAGCATCACGATCTGTGATCATGTGTCTATAATCAAGTGTTATGTTAAAATATAATGAGCAGAACACCGGTACAAAATGAGCATTAGTATTGATATGCACTAGTTTGTAGTGCATAAATGTGTGTTTTTATATCTATTCTGTGTGGATTGTTTACCGTTTTTAGTTAGTTTTTAAGCAGTCATCTTCATTTGTTTGTAATTGATTTTAATCATTTTTTGTAAGTTGTAAAGTAGTAGTAGAGTTATTTGCAAGGAAAAGAAGTGAAAAAGAAGAAGAAAAATATCCAGGTGCACAGACCCGGCCGGGTCAGGCACTTCACCCAGTCGGGTCTGATCTAACAGATGCAGGTACTCAGGAAATTACGTCACCCGGTCGGGTGAAGTATTTCACCCGGTCGGGTCCGACTTGACCCGGAACACCAGAACGTGCCGAAGATCGCCAGAACGTGTAGGATATTTGATTTTGACATGCACCCGGTCGGGTGGGCACTTTACCCGGTCGGGTACCCGGCCAAAGGTGTTGAAAAACACCTATAAATAGCCCCATTTTCCTTCACAAATAATAATCCCTTCTTCCATACTCTTAAGCTCAGTTTAGAATAGTATTTCTTTTATATTTTTATAGCATGTTTAGTCTCCAAATGAGGAGCTAAACTCTTCCATCTTGGTTTTGCTACTTTGAAGCTTAATGAATTTGTAAGTTGTGAGTTATTCTCTTTAATCTTCTTCCTTGAATATTAATTCTTCCTTTAAATACTATTTCTATATCAATGTTGGGGAGTGTTACTAAGATGACAATTAGTTAACATCTTGACATTAGTTATAGTAATAGCTATTTCTTCCTCTATGTTAATATTGGGGAGTGTTACTAAGATGACAATTAGTTAACATCTTGATATTAACTATAGTAGGATTCATCTTCTTTAATATTCTTCCTTGAGTATTAATTAATTCCTATTCATATTTCATATTAATATTTTGAACATTACTTAAAGAATCAACTAGTTTTGTTTCATATATTAATTAATACTAGAATCGGTCGATTAATACGCTTGTTATTAATTCGGTCCTTTCACGGTAGTAAACTTGGATTATTAATGCATGCATCTCATGGTCAATAATCTAAGGGGAATTAATTACATTGATTAACCAACAAACCGCTTGTGTTGAGGTTATCAATCTCAATCGTTTTCATCTTAAGTTTAT